AGGGGCGACTAGCTCAGAGGTCTCCTCCCAAGGGGGCCACTTGAGTGATTTTTTTAGGAGCCGAAAGAAATGAGAGACAATAGAAAGTGATGTGAAAGGGACGAGAGAAGCGTCTACTGACCAGAATAAACAGACAGAACAGAAGTTCTTTATTTTTAGAACCAGATTTTACCAGGATCTCTCTGTGTCAGCACTGCCGACAAATTCAGCGTTTCTTATTTATTTCCTGGCAAAAGATGAAAAGGCATGAAAGGCAGCGGTAATTGAAAATAAAAATCCCGGTGTTGTCAATCAGCTGCCAGAACGAGATTAACTTTGAAGCAGGAAACCTCGATGTGATCTTTCTTTATACCCCCATTTCCATCTTTTGATTTAGGTCTTGGCTTCAGGTGTTTGAGTTGAAACCTCCTTCCTTAGGTGAGATTTTCAAGGCTGTTAAGGTTTTTTTTCTTTTTTTAAAAAAAAACTTTACTAGTTTAAAAACTAGTTTTTTGCTGAAGTTTTCTATGGTGTAGAGTTCTTGATGACTCACAGGTGTGCACTGGCTGGCTATTTAAGCCCAGCTGAGTATCGGTCTATAAGCTGCTGCCAGATATCACTGACTTAGGGACGGGGGTTGATGTGGGCAAAGTTCTGCAGTTCTAAAATATATCTAGACAGCGAACCAGGAACTCAGGCCACTATCTAAGAAGGGCATATTTGGAAGAAGGAGTGTACCTTTGAAAGCGGGTTCAGGGGCTGTGGGTCAGCGTTGTTTTTTTTCCCTCTTTATCGATTGATGTGAAATTAGAGCAGAAAACTGAAGGGTTTTCTTTTTATGAAGTTGAGTGGTGACTTTTCCAGGTCGTGACTCCGGCGTGACCGAGTCACATGATGCACGCTGGGCTGAATCCATGTTCCGTCATGCACCCCTCTTGCCGAGAGTTTGGCGTGACCCTCCCCGCCCCAGTTATCGTACACGGTGTCACAGCACATGGAGATGGAGGACGCCTTTTGAACACGCTGGGGGGGGGTTTCTCGCCCTCCTCCCCTCCGCACTCCTTGCCAATTCTGAAATGTTTGATCATATTCTTGATTAATCAGGCTGCCCATTGTGTCGAGTTAATGCGCTCGATCATTGGCGGCACGACCGGAGTGCCGCAGCCCCCGCGCTCAAAGGCGCAGATGTACCCCCCTGCCCCACGGTGCCACTCGCATTACACATATGAATGATGCGCTCGGATAAACACTGCCCGCCCGCCCGCGCGCGTTGAATGCGCATTATCCCGCTTTAATGAAATCCCCCCCTGCCCCGCACTTAATTAAAATACAAGCTCCGCACTTGAGAGTCGGTCTTCAGCCAGGTATTTGGTAGAGGTTCCATGGGGTTCTGGGTAACAGAAGCAGGGTTGAGCGTTCCTTGGTTCCTTAGATGGTGCTTGGGCCTAGAAACAGCCTAACTACACGCTTAATCTGCTCTATAACTCCCCCTATGTTCCCTGAATGGTCTTAATGTTACACTTCCTGCTGATTTGAATAACAGTATTACATTCTTGCTTTGTTTGGAAGATGTTGTGTAGCTCCTCTTCCAATACTGCTTGCACTCATACCTGGACTTTCATCAGAAGCTCAGCCGAGCTGCACTTATGCCCAGTCGACTCCTTGGCAGCTGTACATTTGTACTGTGCTGTTTGCTTCCCTTGTATGTCAATTTGGACACAAGTGTCAGCTAAAGAACATGAATGTAAATTTCAATGCGCAAAGAAAGGCCTTCGCACTTTGGCCTTGTTGCTGAGCCCCTTACTCAGCTCGATTCACTTAATTGGTCCCAAATGTCTAACGTGTTTTTGACACTTTTGTTTATTTTTGGTGAATTCCCTTTACCACTCGGGTGCAAGTAGGGTGCATGCAGTCAGAAAAGAATAAATCAAGTATATAATGCGTTGGGAATAAATTAGTAATGCTTTTATGCATAAGTTTAATAAAAGTCAGTTCCCCCCAAAGGACTGCTTTCAAAATCTGTGTTTTCTCTCCTGAAATTAGTCATAAAATACGAATCCCACACACCACGCAGTCTGAGTGATAAGCTGCAAGTCTTTTCAAAACTGATGCCACTTATGGGATATGATTTTAAATGAATGAGTGAGTTTAATATCTCGGACTGCCAATCGACTCATATGAAGAAGTTCCGAAAGTTCTATGAGTTCCTTTGGGGGGGAGATATAATTACTTAATAATCAGGTTCCCTCCACAAACATTTTTTACATCCAACTCATGCGGCCAGGTGCTAAATTATTCTCTGATGCTAAATAAGCCAGACAAGCAGAGTGAGTCAACAGGGCCTTGTTGGGGGGGGGGGGTTAAGAATTAGCATCACAAAGCCCCCTCCCTGGGCTGATGAAGAGGGCTGCTTTAGCAGTCATTAGTGACTTGCGCGTCTCTCTCCGGTCGCTCAGTTGCCGTGCCAGCACGAAGGGCTCGGAGAGAGCCGTGAGCTCCTGAATTCAGCATGCATCCTCCCAGGCCGGGTGTCATCGTCCCCTAACCTGTGAGTACCACTCTCTGCCTGGGGGGCACGTGCAGCGTCCCGCTCGGCAGGCTAATGGAGACACGGATGCTGAAGGATTTACCGGGAGGCTTGGGGGAATCCCCAGGGATATACTGCTACAATCGGGAATTCCGGCACATTCCATTTGACCTCAGTCGCACGTTTGTGACAGGGCATGAAGTGGGCATCAATTTTGGCTTACAAGTTGGGCGGTCTGTTACGGGGGGGTGGGGGTGTGCGGGGGTCAATGACGGCACGTCAAATAGTTATGGTGTGTGGAAGGTAGGCTGGAGAGCTATGGAAGTGAGACGCGTGAGGACAGTGTTGGTGTTATTATTCAATTATTATTAAATAGTTATTAAAATTGTAAAGAGGAGAACACAGACAGTTGGGAGACAAACCACTTAAAGGAAAATGAGTCAGTTTGAAGGCAGAGATTTGGAGCATGATATTTGTGCGAGCGTGTATTTAAACGAAATCGAGGGGCCGGTTTGTGTGTGGCTTTGTTTGCTCATCTTATAGGGAGGTGGTCATGTTGTTCACCCCGTGGAGAACAAACTTTCACGGCTATTCACTGAAAGTGTGTGTGCTTGGGTGACCTATACAGGAGTGACATTAGCAGCAAAGACCAGAAAACCTGGGTTCCAGAAAGAACTTTGAGAACTTTGTCTGCTTGAGGTGACACCACAAAGGTTGTTGTCATAGTTTGGGGGTTAGGGGTGATAAATCCCTCTCTTTAAAATGGGGGCCATAGGAAGGTCCTCTGGATGTGTAGCTGTATGTGTTGGTTGCCTGTGTGGCTCGGATGGATGGATGTTGTTATCTTCAGCGGAGCAGAGGAGCGCACAGGAGATGATAGAGGGCGCTGTATGAGTCTCAGTGCATTGGTGCCCTTGGGTGTCGGAGGCAGAAATAAGTTCTCATCTTGGGGCAGGAAGGCGTGTTAGGATGCAGGCTGGAATCTGCAATACCAACCGATGCTGGGAAAAATGAGCGGAGACCCGTTTTGTAATAATCGTGAAGGGATGTAGGAGAGAGGTGGTGGTGGACGGGTGGGGGTCATGATAAAAACGCTATAAACCTACAGGAGTGGGAATGAGATGGCAGAACCCCTCGCCTCTCAGGGCTTAACATTTCAAAAGTCCTTCATGATGTGTTACGTTACATCCATGGTGCTGTTGATTCTGGTACATGGTTGCTGTTCATTCTTGGACCGGTACAACCAGCCAATCATCTTTTAATACGAAGAAAACTGCTTAAAATTCACTTTGGATGAATGGGTTAAATGCAGTGCTTAAGTGGTGTTGGACTGGTATAACTGGAGTAAGATTGATAATGAAACAGCCAGCAAAGGAAGATGCTGTTTTTTCACCCTAAGGATGGAGTCCAACAGCTTCTACGGGATCCCAGAGGGACAAACTTCCTCTGGAAGGGCAGAAACGGCTGTGGGATCACAGGTCAAAGGTCACCTGCTTTTATTCGCCTGACATGGGAGTGACTAAATGCCGGGATCGGCCTTGTTAGCCGCCCTCTCACCTGTGATTTATTAATGAGGTTGAATGCATTATTAACGAGTCTCATTTCTGCATATATATATATATACAACGTGATGGAAACGCTTCAGTCTCAGTCTCGCATTCGCTGTGATGGCACCGTGCATGTTTACCCTAGCTGAATACATATATTTAGACAGTAAAAATACATTTAGACAATGATAGACAGTAACAGTAATTATTATTATATAATAAAACACATTAAAAACATTCTAATTATTTTAATATTAATAATAAACCATTAATACATTTAATTATAATAATATTGTCCTGCCGATAGGGGACAGAACGGAGACAAAGGCGCAGACGTCAGGGTATCGGGGAATACGGGGTTTAATTACAGGTAAGGCAGGCAAAACGCAGACGGACAATACAATTGCCGGACTGGGAAAACAAAGTGAAACGTGGACTAAATACAGAGGACTAATGACAACAAGCAGAAACAGCTGATCACACAGGGATTCCACACGAGGTTAAGGAGGGGGCGTGGCACACGGATGGAGCGGACAATCGGGGCAGGACACATTGTTTTTTTTTATTTTACACACTGTTTGGATACATTTATTTTCTTACTTTACAAATTACTGTTTTGATAAATGTGCTTAGATGTGTTTAGTACAGTATATGCTCTTCTTGTTTTATCCGGTTCATTTTGTGTTTAAATGCTAAAAAAAAAAACATATTTAGATGTAATTTTTTTGGGCCAGGAACCAATTAATTGGTTCCCACAACTCGATCACAACTCGAACTTTTTAGGATTCGATCTGGAGTTCTGAACGGATTAAATTCGAGTTCTGAGGTACCACTGTATTATATTTATAATACATATATTAGTTTTTGCAAAGTGTAGCCTGGCTCTTCCCTGCTTCTCATTAATGAAGGGCTTCTTCCTTGCTTTATGAGACTTCAGTCCTGCTTCTAGGAGCCTGATACAAACTGTCCTAGCAGTGCACTTCACACCTGCACTTAATGCTTCCCATTCCTTCTGAAGGTCACTTCATGTCATCCTACGATACATGAGAAACGGCCCGATCAGTTAATAATAATAATAATAACGGTCGTCTCTGACATTACAAAAGTCTCTTCTGCCCCCTACCTGGCTGGTTTCTGGTTATTCCCAGTGTCTCCTGCTTCACCTTATTCTTCTGTGCTGCTGTCTTAACTTTGAACCTGGAAGCAACCTGCTGCTCAGTGTAGCCTCCTGCCAGCAGAACCAGGATCAAACCAGGATTTAAAAATGCAGATTTTTTTAAAAATATAGAGTAGTCTTTTAATTTTTTTTCCAGGGCTATAAAATATATGTACATTCTTTATATGTAGTTTTTGTGATGAATTTCTTGTTTATTAAGCTTAGGGGCTATTAAACTTATAAATCACAGTAATTAGCAGGAAATTATGAGCAAGAGTGAGGCTGGATTGATACATATGGGTGTTCGGTGTGGACTGGAGACTCTGTGTGGCCTGAATGCTGATGAGGTCCCTGGGAAAGCTTACCTGCCACAACCCCCCCCCCCCCCCCCAGGGCGAGTCTCAGGTGTGGCGTTGCTTGGATGCCTGTGAGTGACAGGAGCTGGGGGGGTGGGATGCTGCAGACTGTGACGGCTTCCCACCGGCACTAATTAAAATTCTATTTTCACGGGGCTGGGCATTTTCCCCCCTCACTTTGATTGGGCCCCCGCACACAGCCAGCTGTTACCTTCCCTCCTGGCCCTGCACTGCTGGCACCCTCCACCCAGAATGCTAAGCTGCCCCCCCCCCCGAGTAGGAGCCCCTCCCCCCAGCCTGGGATCCGTCCCCTGCAATACCGTCCCCCCCACCCCTTCTGGCATACAGAGATCCCCGATGCAGAATAAATCTCCCCTATATTAAGCAGGACTGTCACTTGGCCTGTAGATGCACACCCCCGCAGTTATGACATGCTTGCCGTGAGGAGCGGCCTGAAGCTGTGGGGTGGTGTGTGTCTGTGTGTGGGGGGGGGGGGCGTCCAGAAGCAGATCTGTGCCCCTCTGCTTTGAGTCTATTATGAGCAATAAGCGAGTCTTTCTCTTAAAATGCGTTTAAATCAGTGCCCTGAGCCCAAGTCCAGCTCCAGAGGACCAGCCCTGTCATGAGCTTGCCCCCCCCCCGCCACCCCAGAAAATCCTGTGGCCCACCCAACATTTCAAAGTTACAGCCAAGTTTGCCGTAGATCTAGCTGTCCTTCAGGTGAACACGTCATTCCCAGAACTCTGCTCCGATGGTATTTCCATTGACGTCTGGCTGAATCAGCTCAGGATTCCCAGTTCTGCAAAGTTGACATTTTGAAATCTGGGAAAGATTCACCTGCTGGCTTGGGTCCGTTGTGGGTCTGACAGCTCGTGTGTCGGTGAGTGGGAGGTCCTCAGCCAGATTTAAAGAAGTGAAGAAATACTGACTGGACATTTTATATCGGGAAGATGGCAAGATGTTCGAGAATTTACAACACAAATTATGGTCGGCATAACTCACTTCTCTGTAACCTTTTTAAAAGTAATGTCAGTGTGTTGGTGGGCATAGAACAATGGAAACAAAAAAAGTAGGAAAATCATTAACGTTTCTTTTTAAAGTTTTATTATCGTTTATTATTGTTTGTGTGATTTTTTTTTTTTTGGTCAGGAGTCGTTAATTATGGAATAATTCAAACAAATATATTGTGCATTTCTGATTTTATTCGTCGTGTGCTGTTACCCAGGTGACATGTCAAACGCCACCTGGTGGCCAGAGGGCGCCAACGCCTCCCTGCCTGGCCACCTGGATGCCTGCATGCCGCGCTGGAGCCCCGCCTCTCGCCTGGCGCTCTACTCCCTCCTACTCGCCTGCATCGGCAGCACTGTGCTGGGGAACCTGCTGGTGGTGCTGGCCATCGCCTACTTCCGGCGCCTCCGCTCGGCCACCAACACCTTCATCATGTCTCTGGCGGTGGCCGACCTGTTGGTGGGCCTCGTGGTCATGCCCTGCAGCGCGGTCCGCACCGTGGATGGCTGCTGGTACTTCGGGCCCGCCCTCTGCCGCCTGCACTCCAGCCTGGACGTCATGCTCTGCTCGGCCTCCATCTTCCACCTCAGCTGCATCGCCTTCGACCGCTACCACGCTGTGTGCCACCCGCTGCTTTACGCCTCCAGGATGTCTCGCGGCAGGGTAGCCGTCCTTCTTGGGCTTTGCTGGGCGGTTCCTTTGCTTATTTCCTTCGGGCCCATCACGTTGCGGCTCCACGAGGTGGCCGTGGAACCGGCGTTGCCGCACGACTCCTGTCTCTTCCTGGTCAACCCGACGTACGCCGTCGTGGCCTCCCTTGTTGCCTTCTACCTGCCCATGACCTCCATGCTGGTGGCCTACTGGAAGATCTACAGGGTCGCCAGGAGACAGGCCATGCAGATCAGCGCCCTGGAGAACCAGGTGACCGCACAGGACATGGGCGCTGGAAAGCATCAAAGGGCATCCTTGTGGCGGGAGAGGAAGGCCGCCAAGACCCTTGGTATCATCATGGGTGCCTTCCTCCTCTTCTGGTTGCCCTTCTTCACCACCAACATCGTCGACCCGTTTATTGAGTACCGGACTGCAGGGCTGGTTTGGGACATCTTCCTGTGGTTGGGCTATGCCAACTCGTCCCTCAACCCGTTCCTGTACGGCTTCTTCAACAGGTCCTTCCGTAGGGCCTTCGTCATGATCCTGAGCTGTCAGATATGCCTGCCAGGGTCTCCCCCCAGCATGGACCTCTCCCACTCTAACAGGGACGATCACATGGGCAACCAGTAGACCAGCTCCCAGTCTGAAGGCCCCAGAGCCACCACAGCCCTCAGTTCTACCCTGATTAATAGCTTCTTCACTGAGATGTCTTTGTGAAACTGAGGTACCAGAACAGCTTAATGGTTCCTCCTGCTTTTGTAGTCAAGAAATTACCCTTTAAAGATCTTCTGCACCGGATGATGATAAAATTAACTTAGGCTAATGGCCAAGACACCGAACTGTACAGGTTTAATTTCTGCCTTAAAATTATATGTGATGCGCATTCTGGGTATAAAGTTCTTCATTGAACTGAAGCGCCTGTATTCCATGATGATTACGCTCCAGATGGATGTTTTATGTGTTAACATATAAATAAACTGCCATCTTTTTGGAACGTCTTTGTTACTGTTTTTAAAATTAATTTTATTTCTTGATGTTTCTGGGTCAAGAAGTAGCCGTACAACCTCAGTGCGTGGGAGTCAATGACGGGTTCGTAACCCAATGTGTGAGCCGGGTGTCCGGTGAGAGCGCCTCACTCTGGCTGGTTACGCATACAGAGGTCGGCTAGGTGCCATCAATCTGCCGTGACATGCAGGGACAACTGCTGCCAGCAGGGGTCACCAGAGAGGAAGCATCTGCCCCAAGACCATGATCTTTCTCAGTGTATGTGTGTTTGGGTCAGTGTCTATAATCACTCAAAGAAACTACCACTAAAAGAAGTCTTTCGGCTTATTCCCTTTATTAACATGGCTTATTTCAAAGTCCTCCCCCCTCTCAGTGCAAGAACAGAAAGCCTCCGAAGAGTTTGGGCTCATCAGCCATAAGGTTGTTCCCTTTGAACTCCACATTCCCGACATGATCCGAGTACCAGAATGAGTGTAGTCCAGTCTCCCACCCGCCTAACTGACGAATTTAATGACATGAAAGCAGCATTCAAAGGAACTTTACAGAACGTGGATAAACAGTATATATACAATATATTCCCACAGAGGGCAATCACACTGCAGCTGCAATCACACTGCAGCTGCAATCACACTGCAGCTGCTTGCTGATGTGTGCATCACCGGCCCGAAGAAAGACTGGTGTATGGTATCTGTGTACAGCAGACCTCTAGGGGGCGCTCTTGATCAGTATGTCAGAAACTGCCGAACTCTCCTTGCTGTCCACAGTGACAGCTTGGGCTAGCCCAGAATCCCCCTCTGCTGATGACCGCTGCCCCAGTGTGAGAACAGCGATGCGTTGGAAGGACCCAGGATGGCCCGTTGAAAGCAGAGATTAGCTGGAGCAGCATCCAAGGACTTTCTGTTAGCTGGCTTGGCCTCCCCAAGGGGTTTCACAATGTGCAGTGACATTTCTGGTGCTGGGGGGGTAGGGTTGGGGGTGGGGGGGCATATGTGTGAAAGCCAGACGCAAGTCCCAGAGCCGCAGGCCGACTGATGGATTGCGTTCCGTGATGAACGGAATGAATGAACGGTCAATGTATTCCCACTGGATTTAGTCATGAGTCATTCTGGGTGCCTGTGATTTCCGTGTGACCTTACAAGACCCTTCTCTGTTCATTCTCACAACCCCCCTGCAATAAAAAATGGCACCTCTTGTGCTCTGTGATTAAGTGTGTAATACACACACACACACACACACACACACAAAACACACAATTTCCACACCCCAGGAATCTGAGCCGGATCCCCACATTTACATGTTTACTGTTGGATCCAGGGGGAATTTCTCCTGACTTCTGGGTGTCCGCTGCTTGGCGAGTCTCTACCTTACGCTCGGAGTGTGCATACCGATCACAGCAAACACTCTCAGCCATCTTGCTTTGATGTTTTATTTAGCTAGCAGATTTGCCGGTCTGCGAGGCTCCCAGAGGGTATGAGCGAAGCAAGGGGCTTTGAAAAGTCACGAGGGGGGGCGGAGGGGCGTACTACACATTTGTTTTCGGAATCGAAGAAAGAAAAAAAGACAAACATAACACTGCCATCTGCTGGGGAGGGGAGGTAATGCAGTACGCTTCTTCCAGTGCTTCTGGCAGAAGCGGGATTGCTGGGGCTCACACAGCAGTTGTCTCAATACTATTACATTGACGCACTGTCTCCCAATCGATAGATTCAGCTTTTCTTTAAGTAGATAAGAATCCCAGAGGTAAAGGCTGAAAACTCAGCAAAATACCATGAGCCACAAACTCAAAGCCAAGTCTAATGGGTAGCAGAAAGAGTGAAATTGATTTTTTTTTTTTTTGTAAAGCCATTTTCGATTGCCATACAAGTGACTTT